TTGACGTCCACAACTGTTGCATGTAGGTGCTATTTATATATTTACATATATATGTATGTACATACATATAGGATGAGTTTATCAAACTTAATGAATTTTTCGGTATATAAAAATCTTACCATCAGTTGACTCCGATTTTATTTTATTTCGATTGCATCCGGTTGAACAATACCATGTCGATTGTAGTCTAATAATTGAGAGAATAACAGTTAGATTACATTTTTCCAGGCGCATATAAGGTATTTGAAAAACATCGCACATTTCGCACAATCAGGTATATATATTTAAATGGTTTTGTATTAAATATTCAAAGAGCTTTTGCAAAGAACATATAATTCGATGTAATTTTCTTTAAAAACTCGTTTTGCAGCAACGAAATGGGAAATGAATTTGAAAACATGTATGGACGACTACTAAAAAATAATACGGCGTATATAGTATTCAAGATAAACTTACACTTCAACTTTGGGTTCGGAGATTGCCGACAAAATCCCAGTTGTCCACGATAGTCCTGGCGGCCAACAATTCTTAAAAGGTGCAAAATGCAAATCTTCCTGCTGAGGCAATCCTATAAAGCGCAGCTGAATATGCACCTGATCAATATCGATGGATTTAAGACCACCAGCAGCGTCTCCTGTACTCCCAGCTAGTTTAATATGGTCGCGAATAAGCGAATATGTGCAATATTTAGCGGCGTTTAAAAATTGTAATGGCTCTTCCACAACTAAATGCAGCAATTCTACGTCTTCGATGCGTGTAAATTCGACATATTCAAATCGAAGTGGTAACAGTAGAGCACCCAGTGCGTCCTCTGGCTTCCTACTATCGCTATACTTTTTTATAAATTTTTCAGTTGCTCCTTCTATAATTTTGAGCAAATTATTTCGTCGTATAAACGATTCAATTTGTTTCTGATCACGAAATCTGTGAATTATGAACGCCTTATATTTTATTTACTATAAGCCATGACATCAGAAATTACTTACGATTGGGAAATATGAGAC